AATCAAATTCAATCAATCAATCAATTCAATATCAATCAAGTCAACTGCTTGTCAATTACAAGCCAATGCACAAATTCAAATCCTGAATTTCAATTTACATGTGCAATAGGATAAACAATGGAATGAGCGTAAGAATATGTGTTGCACTCCTCCAGTTGCGTTGAGGTGCGACGGAATACGCCACTTGCAAGGGCCATGAATACTCGTGTCTACCACGAGTAAACATGGAACTGCAACCGCCACCAATGGGGGTGCCAAGAACCATGGTGACGGCGGCAGTACCTCAACGCAAATGGTCACCGTCGACCAGGGCCTGCTCATTCACCAATACAAGTTATAAAACAAGTGACTTATTAGTCAATTTACTATTCAATGCATTAAAACAAAATATGAATTTAAATCGCCAACAGTCATTCACCTATTCCGTTATAATTATTTTAACAAATGTGTTGAAATGCAATTATGGACTTTTCAGTATAAAACAACTCCCCGTTTAATCTAAAATTGTGGATCCTTACCTGCACTGTATTTCCCGTCCCGATGGTTTCTTTAATCGTCTTACTTACCTACTAGGCTGTTACTCCTGTTACGCATTTTTATGGCTTTTATAAAAAATTTAAACTATCCTTGCAAGTATTGGTTATAGGTGTACTAAAAAGTTTGGAGTGTATCAGACCTAGGGCTGGGACGATATATCGAGATATCGATAATATCGATTCAATGTGAGGATGATACGCATATCGATACGTATGAAGAAATATCGACATATTTCCCAAAAAATTCTGACTAATGTTTTTCTTTGTTAACTTAACATTTTGGGTTTAATATGTAAAATAAATATGCTTAATATAAATAGGAATATGAAATACATAATAATTAAGACCAAAATAATTAAGTTTTACAACAGATATACAACTTCTTTGAATAAATTATTCTTATTTGTGAAGAAATATCTTGTTCATTTCAATATAAAAAAAGAATTTATAACCAATTAAACATATCGTGATACATATCGTATCGTGGCTCAAATATCGGGATACGTATCGATATAGAAAAAGTTGGATCGTCCCAGCCCTAATCAGACCCATATTGAACAAAATCGAGAAATTTACGTCACCTCTCAACTTTTAGAATACTTTTAAAACTATATGATATCCTTAACCCCCCCCCCCCTTTCTCATTTCCCCAGCTGCATAAATCGAATTCCCTCTTCGCAATTTATCAAACAACTATAATCCATAGCAAAATTCAAAAAAATAAATCATTGGAATGAAAGAAAGTAAAAATATGTGAGCCTTGTAACAACTACTTAATGGATGCATAAACATGTGCATTTTATAGCCAGCGTTTCAAAGCTAAAATAACCTCCCCCGTTGCATCTTGATAGCAAATGTGCTTTAGCGGTTGCTCCCTCATTGTAGTGAATGGGATTTAAATTTTGTATTCTACAAATAATAAAACATATCGGCATGATATACAGTATCCAATACTGACTCAACCTGCTCTCAGTTTCCCTGAAAAATGATAAACGCCTTATATGACTACATTCTAACCGTTAACTTTTTTTTTTAATTTAATTACCAATAACTACCAAGGCTTATTAATTTAATCATCACCTAATAAGTGTTTTAAAGTACGACTAATTTTAGCCTTATATAACCTCATGCCATAACGGTACTTTAACCTATTTTAAACAAAAGAAAGAATACTTTATATCGCTATTACTTAACGTAATGAAACTCTTTTGCGTTGAAGGTAGGATACGTTGATTAATAGCTGAGGACAATGTGCTATAGCTATTGACTACACTATGAGATTGATCACTGCAGATTTAGAAAGAAGCCCTGATGAAATACCTTGCTAAATGTTCGGCGCACCACGCTGCTGAAATTAAAATGCTAGCTCTCTTGTGTAAATTTTTGTGGATATTTCCCTGTAAGTAGACTATTCTAATAATAAGTTTAATCATTTCTTTCTGATAAACGTTATTTTGGGAATCTAAAAACTCCGAATACTTTGACTTGCTTTCTGATGTGCAACCATCGGCATTACATTGTACATTCGGCATACTTATTGTTCGTATCATTCCATTGTCGCTAGCGTAAACAATATATGTAAACAATATGTTATGTCCCGAAAATGAAGGGAGATTTATAACTTTCTTGACTTTATCGCAAAACAGAGGCATTAAGTTATATAATTCGAGGTAATTGCGAAACTAAATGTTCTGAGTATTCAAAAAAATGTCTACGAGGGAGTAGTTTGATCTCTGGGAAATTTAGGTATAAGCGTGGACCATTGTGTATTACACACAATTATACATGTATTTGGTAATAATTAAACAGAATGATAAAATTAGTCTCAAGGCTTAAATCCCCATTAGACACTGACATAGGTGCGTAATAAAATAAACAAGCACCATAAAATATCCGAGAAAACAAAATCTTGAGTATGTTGCAATTCTTTGTCCACGGGTATGTGCGCTGGACAAAACTGGTTTACTTGATAAGGCATACTTCTGGACATATCTTGGATATCCCTTACCAGATTAGCTTAAAATTGAATATCGTAGTGTACCTTAAATAAATGGATCAATATTGTTTTGACAACACATTATTAACTCCTTGGTTTTGACCTTTCTTATATACTAGAAAATTCAATATACTAGTTGATATTCAATATTGCAATTTCACATCAACCTATTAAATCTTTAGATAATTGTTGATTCATATATACGGTAATTTATATTTAAATGATTATTCGACAAGCTTTGTTTCCCCGTCTCGTCGCACGCGTTACCAGACTATCCATTCAAATAAAGCGTGATAAGCAACATACAGAGCAAGTGGTGGGTGCTGCTTATCCGAGTGAGACTCCTGACCAATCACTTTGTTAACCTGCCTATCACAGTGCTCTAATAGCTTAACTAAATATCAGAACTCAATCGATCCGAAGGAGATGAGGAACCAATTTGATTTTGACCATCTACTTAAAAAATTACCAGTTTACTTGAAATATGCCCCCCCCCCCCACACACACACACACAAAGACCGCTTAACCAAATTATACTTTCCCTCATAATGTAATCTAATAGTTGCAATTAATTGTAGCTGGATTAGGATAAATATATCATTTGCCAATGCCACTTTTATATCTAGTTGTAGCACAACTGCAACATTTCCTACTTATTTCTTTTTTGCAAATCTTTAATTACTGTTCTAATGAATTACTGGGGAAGTGATAAGGTCATGCTTTGATGGAAAGGAATCTTGTTCCCACTGCAGCTGTTGACTCACTGATAAAGCTGTCTTAAAAAAAATAAAAATGTTGACCTGTTTTTGGTAATGTAGCTGAAAATAATTAATCATGGTAACATATATCTGTAATCACTATCACTTAAGGTTTTTTATTGTACTTACTGCCTTTTGTACCAATATCATTTGCTCCTTGCTTGTGCCCGAACCCTGCAAATTTGCATACCTATTCTAAAGCATATGAAGAATACATTTCCACAGCTTTGCTATGGTTTGACTGCTCACTGTGAGACAAATGCTTGCAAAATTAATAAGAAATGTTTTCATCCTATTTCAATAAACTGTGATTTTGCTTTCATTAGTTGGATTTTTATACAGTAATTGACCATGTGGACCACATGAGTTCCCATATATTGTGTAACATAATATACAAATTAACTCCCCTCCCATTATGTAATAGGAAAATCAGTTCATACAATATCACCTATAAAACCTTAGACCTTTTTGTTTTCTTGGTAACATGTTCTATGTAAATGCCAGGATAACATGAAAAAAAAAAATTAAAAAATTGGAAAAGAAAACAAACAGTACTCTTCCATACTTTTTCAAAAGACCAATAAACAAATGAAACGTTACAAGTCTGCAAATAGAGCATAACACTACTACAACTTAATAAATCTCCTCTCAGTACATACAGTACTTTGATTACTTCAAAAAGTGAAAGTGCACAAATCCTCTTGAATGCTTTCTCCGGATTTAACGACGATTACATTTTGTAAAATGCGAATCAATAAACCTCCTTCAAGCACGATAAATCTATGTAGAAAACAAACTAAAATCCGTCTAATAAGCCCGGCTTCTTAGAATATTCCGTGTTTTATGAAATTAACCCCCCCCCCCGTTATAGCTATGATGAACTCGAAGTTTAACATTTCGCTCCTAAAAATAATACTCAAGTTAAACAATCCTTTGACCCCCAAACTGATCTTAATGTTTATTTATTCCTTTTATCTGTAACTCACACATTACAATATCGCGTAAAATCAATTCAGTTTACGAAAAAGTCCAATCAGGCCAAATCCAAAGTCAAACTTCGCCATTGATACGTCTAATTTGCTTTGAAACTACAAACCTCAATAGTTATACTAAAAATCAAACTTATTTGATTTAAAAAATTTAAAACATTGCCACAATTTAACTCCCAAAAATTTTCCAAGACCTAAGCGTTTAATCGATTCTTTGAGAAAGGAGGTAGAAGAGAACTTACTATTAGACTATATACGAATGGACCTCAATTATCCGGAATGATAGCTTGTGACTAAGGGTGAAAATCTATATTTATCCGAATGTACGTAACTTATACGGAATAGATAAATATTACTAGGGTTACTGAAATAAACTCACTTATCCGAGACCAGGCTCGTATAAGTGGTAATATATATATATATATATATATATATATATATATATATATATATATATATATATATATATATATATATATATATATATATATATATATATATATATAAAGCTATGTCGATTTTTGAAAGGAATTGTTAGCTCTTTCCATTTTTTTAGTCCTTCTTAAGAAACATAATTATTCATTTAACTTTAAAACCCGGTTTGTTAATGTAAAGTCTGTTGAAATGTTTAAATACCAAATACCATCTAACCATGTCAATATGTGTGTTCAAATAGAACCAGCCACCCATGAAGCACTGTGTGCATTACACTTCTGGTATTCCAAACTAATACAGGCGGAGTAATTATAGTGGAAATGTGAACGATAGACAGACTTTCTACATAAACAAGTACAATATGTTATCAAAGACAGGAAGTATACAAATTTTAGAAATGCTACTAGTCCTTTTCTTGTGTTGTGGAACATTGATACCCCAAAGTTTGGGTAAGTAAGGATACTTAAATAAAATTGACGGGAATACATTAGTCATACGTGCATCTTCACCTTTTGAGAACACTTTATTTGTAACAAATGAAACACTTTATGCTCAAGGTATTCTAAGTGTGAAGTAACCCATTAATCTCGTTACACCCAGGAAGAAAAAATACTGAAATTTACTTCCTGGTCGAAATTAATCAAAGATGCTTTAAAGCATGCTAACTACAAAAAATTAAATATTAAAATGAGATTCTGAATATAATTTATCATTGATTCACAGCTTCTACAACGCAGGATATCAGATCTTCTACTGACAACAGTACAGAACAAACAAACGGTATGACAAACACCTCAGAATCAACAGTCACTGCAAAGCTTATTACTAACACCTCAGAATCAACAGTCACGGCAGCAATGGCAACAACCACAGCAGGTGCGACTACTACATAAAACAGTAGTGTGCAGAAGAAATGTCATTTTCTTATAAACATGAAAATTTCAGTTTCAAGCACTAATCCAAGAATTAATTTCTACTTTCGTTTTAATTTCATCAAGCAAATAAGATTAAGGTGCCGAATGGGGTTTCTATTGCCCAATATTTTGCGCATTGTATGAAATAATCTAATAGAATTTAACAAAATTAAGAAATCAGAGGTAAAAAAAAAATGCATTTCTAAGGAAATGATTTTTTTACGAATTTATAACGGATAGGTAAATTCACATCATTTTGGAGAGTTTGTGATGACAAACTGAAGTGATTCAAGAGGGGTCACAGAAAGTGCTATAAAAGAAAAAGTACAAGTACTCGACATAAATATGTTGCATGTTAACATAAATAAGTCATAATCATCTTGAATGTTAAAATATAAGTCGCATGTTGACATAAATAAGTCGCGTGTTAACAGAAATATAATAAGTCGCATGTCTACATAATTATGTTGCATGTTAACATAAGTAAGTCGCATGTTGAAATAAATATCTTGCATGTAAACATAATTATCTTGCATGTTAACATGAATAAGTCGCATATCAACAAAACTATGTTTACCAACATTAGAATTAGTTTCTCAAAAAAAAAAGATTAGTAACCTTCAAATCAACATCATTACCGGTAGTATGCATGTAGACATTATTATCTTGCATGTTGATATACTTTTCTCGCATGCATGTTAACGTAATTTATCTAGCATGTAGAGGGCAGAAATATGCTATCATATTTTTGTTCTTAAGAAGAAGATTTTTACAGATTTCTTCCAGTAAAATTTTGATCTTCTATTGTGGCCCCGCCCTACCCCAGGGATCACGATTTGATTAAGCTTGAATCTACACTACATGGGGATGCTTCCATATAAATATGAATAATTATGATTTAATATTTAAAAGAATTTTTCCTATAAATTCCTATGTAAAACCTTGATTGTTCATTTTGGCACCGCACAATACCTGGGGACATGATTTGAACAAATTTAAATCTACACTACCTGAGAATGTTTCCATATTCCATATAAATATGACTTATCATGGTTTTGCAGTTCTTGAGAAGGAGATTTTTAAAGATTTTTTTTCTGTGTACTCCTATGTAAAAATTACCATCTGTGGCCCCGCACTACACATGGGGGGGGGGGGGGTCCATGATATGAATAAATCTGAATCTACAGTATGTAATGAAGTTTTCATGCAAGTTTCATCTTTTTTTTCCCAGTGGTTATTAAGAAGATTTTAAAAAGATCCCACTAAATTTAAACTTCTTAATTATCCCACTTGAAAGAGGATGTGGCCCTTCATTTGAAAAAAAAAATCCCTTCACCAAGAATGCTTTGTGACAAGTTAGGTTAAAAATGGCCTTGTGGTTCTTGAGAAGAAGTCGAAAAATATGAAAAGTTTACATATGTCATAAGACACACAACAGACGAAACACGACAGACGGATGTCGAACAGCCTTCCATCAGAAAAACTTACTTGAGCCTTCGGCTCAGGTGAGCTTAAAGGAGAAATGACCAAAGTAACCATTCTACATGTGTAAAGATACAATTTTTTACGTAAAGGTTTTACCTTGAGACAGTTAAAAATAATTTACTTTAAAAACTTTATATTTCAGTTTGATGATCAATAAGTCAGCTACATGTTTTTATAAAGCTTGATGTTCTATTTAAAATTCTTAAAGGTGCTTAGACACAGATTTGAAGTCAATATTTTTTTCAAATTTTCTGTATAATATCACGACTTATATATTTCAATAGCATTTCACACGAAAATATAATTAAAAACTTATTTTATCTGGAAATTATTGGAACTACGAATTTCTGGACGCGTTTGATTAACACATTCTTGCACTTTCACAAATTTTATCTTTATCCTTAATATTTAAGAAAAGGAGCTATTTTTTTGTGTATTAATGAAAAACATTACATCTATAATCCAGAAAATTCAGAGTAGAAATGTGCGAAAGCAAACCCCCCTCACTAATATCGTCAGCCCGTGCTCAGTGTTGTGTACAGAGTTTAACAAATTAAACACACCCGTGAAACATAAACTGTTTTTGTAAACAGGGCACGAGCTCTGTTATTGTTAATGTTTACGATTCACCGGGTGTGTTCAATTGTTAAAGTCTGCACACACCACTGAGCACGGACTGACAATACTGTGAGTGGATTTTGCTTTCGAACATTTCTACTCTGAATTTTTCTGGATTATAGTTTTAATATTTTTCATTAATACACAACAAAATTGCCACTTTTTTTAAGTATTAAGAATAGAATTAAAATTTGTGAAAGTGCAAGGATGTGTCAATCAAACGCGTCCATAAATTTGAAGTTTCAATAACTTCGAGATGAAATAAGATTTTTATTATATTTTAGTATGAAATGCTATAGCAACATATAAGTCATGAAATTATGCAGAAAATTTGAGAAAATGTTAACTTCAAATCTGTGTCCAAGCACCTTTAACATTTTTTTATGTAAAGTGAACGATTTGTGGTGCTATAGCTGTTCGGACACTAAGCGTGGTGCTGACTGTCAAGCAAACATTAAAACTATGGCCGGAGAGGCAGGAGAAGTACAGAGAAAGACAACACAGGACGGACGAAATACAAGGAAGTATGTAAAGAACTGCGGGGGATACTACAATTTCACCTATTGTTTGATTGAAACAATAGAAAATAGAGGTAACAGATTTTTCATAAGAGTAAGCAAATTGCTCCCTCTACTGTCAGTCGTTTATTTGAAATGTATGGTGGCATATTTCTGCCCCTTGCGTGCAAGTTATTTTTCTATCAAATATGTCGACTTGCAAGATAAGTATGTTGACATGCAAGATAGTTATGTCAACATGCAACATAACTATGTTGACATGCAAGAAAATTGCAATCAAATAAAAATTATAAAAAAATCTTCAGAAATCTCATATATCGCCCACAGGTGACATCCAACACGCTAGATGCTACTTATTTATGTAAACATGCATTTTATTTATGTTGACATGCAACCTATTTATGTCGACATGTAACTTATTTATGTTGACATGCAACTTATTTATGTCGACATGCAACTTGGTCATGTTGACATGCGAGATAAATATGTTGACATGCAGCATATTTATATCGACATGCAACTTATTTATGTTAACATGCATTTTTCAGATACAGTTCTGCTATGACCTTAACCTTAGACCTTGAAAGATAGTTCAAGGTCACTGCACACCCATTAAAAGAGACCTTGGACAGATCGACGGACGGACATACTAATTACTATAGGTCTCCCGCAGAGAGGGGCCCTAAAAACGTTTTATAATCTACGGTCACGTTTCTGAATCGCCAGGACATTTTATCTAAGGAAATTCAATTTATACTTTGTTGTCCACCTCATATTATACAAAATAATTTAAACTGCAACATTTGCTTGAATAAATTTTCGGTCATTAAAATCAACTTCAATTTTACTGACCAAAAAAAAAAAAAGAAGAAAAAAAACACAACCGTGCCTCATTGCATGTGTCTTGGGTGGTAACGAACCTGCACGCTCGTACAAAAGTTCAAATTGTGTATCACATATTTCATTTTGCATTTAGATTTAATCATTGAATTCAAAATCTTATCATTTTGAAAATCGATCATATTTAAAAAATTATATATCCAAAATGAAATCAAAATCGATCATATTCACTGTAAACTTTTTCGCCATTCCTGGGTCTTCAGACATTTACATCCATTTGAGATTTCATTTTTGGATATTTACTTTTTTAAAAATTTTATATATATCCGCCACTCAACATAACTAAATTGCATGTCAACATAAATAAGTTGTATGTTGACATAAACAAATTGCATGTTGACATAACTAAGTTGCATACTGACATAAATAAGTTGCATGTTGACATAAATAAGTAGCATGTTAACATACCTAAGTTGCATGTTGACATAAATAACCTGCATGCAAACATATTTATTTCGCTTGTCAACATAAATAACTTGCATGTCGACATACATAAGTAGTATCTAGCATATTGTAAGTGACAATATTTGAGATTTTTTAAAGATTTTTTAAATTCTTATTTGATTGGAATTTTCTTGCATGTCAGCATAGTCATGTTGCATGTTGACATAACTATCTTGCATGTCAACATATTTATCTTGCTTGTCGACATATTTGACAGAAAAATAACTTGCACACATGGGGCAGAAATATACCACCATACAAATGCAATATTTTATTAAAAAAAAATATATTTTCTATTAGACGTATTCAGCCATAAATATATCAATGGTACATTTTCAGGAAAAGAGTTTGTTCTTTTTTATTTGCGGAATAATCGAAAAAATTAAAATAAAACAATGTGTCCTCTATCAAACAATGAACCTTACATTTTTAGGAGAAGTACATTCCTATATCCGAGATTGTTCTGATGGTGTCTCCTTCTCCTACAGCCTCGCTAAGCTGACTAACGTCCATCCCGACAACCAGACGACATGTGGCTACACAGGACAGGGATACGTCATATGTGTACGTCTGTGTCGGTCAGACTTTTGTAACGGACCACGTCCTCTCTCAGCGGCGAATACAGACAAAAATAGGAATGGACTGTTATTTATTTTATTTATGGCATATTATTTGGTCTTCTAAAAATGACTTGATTTTGAAATGCTGAGCATTATAAAAAGAAAAACATTTATTTGATCCAAACTCGGCATAAACGAAAATTTGGGGATCTTATGGTGCAGCATAAGGAATTTCTGTTGATAATTGTACTTATTAAAAAGTCTAAATTTATTTTGTATTCTTAGCTCTGTATTGTTCTACTGAAATTTTAGATGGGCAACATATTTTATATCTTAATTTGCATTATGTAACAAGGTATCAATCCCTATTAATTTTTGTCTTTTTTGCATCAATCAAGTAAATTTTAATAAAGAAATATTTTATGCATAATTGGTGTTTATTTGATCCCAACTAAGCAAAACGGAGCTGCCATGAACTTGTGCAGGATAAGATAACATAATTTGGTTTTTTTAACGTAAAAAAAATCGTGCTGGAGGTATGATCCGCATGTTTGAATAAAGCAGATCTGAAGTCAGTGACTAAATCAGACCATGAAAACAACAATACAGAATATTTTTGAAAAGTTGAACAAAGGATTATCTTTGCAAATTTAATTCACGTGTCCTTGAAAGATAGCCGGCTGTTAAAATTAAATTCAATTTCAGTTCAGAATTACAGATACCGAAATCACCTTTGTTGTAGCACACATGTAGGATCGCGATGTTTGTTTAGGTTAGCGTTTACCTTTGGAATACATTGCTTTTCAATTATCATTTGCCGGCTTGATGAATTTGTTTTTAAAACTGTCTGATAACCAGATCCAAACACGCGCTACAGACGTTTCCGATCAAAACTATCATAATTATATTAGCGTCAAAATAATAAATGCCACGTGCTTTTTCCCGCCGAGAGAACCACCGGCAGAAGAATTCAGTGACCGTTCTGTGAAATTGGACAATTTTACACCTTTGTTCCGTGAAATTGCAGATGTGCTGTAGATATAATTGCCTCTATCTGTAACCAACAGGGAGCAAAGGTTGAAGTAAAATTCTTACCGATGTAAGAATTCTAAGGAATTTTCTGGATGAGGAAAATGTTTACTTTTAAACAATTTAACTTGATCTGTATAGTGATTTGGAATTGTTTGACCTTTTCTTCTGCTAAAAGTGTCGAAGATGTTTTGATACCAAGAGAGAAAACACGATGGTTGTCAGATGAATTAGTGAGTATAGATTTGATTGTGATAGACAGTTGGTAAAATAATATTAAGAAAACCACAACTAATTACAAAGTCTTCATATATATAAGAAAGATGCTATGATTTTTTGTACAGTGATAATGCTTATAAAAAGATAAAAATATGTATATATTAATATCCCTAAAAAAATCTAAATTTGCCGTATTTTAAAAATAAGTACTTTTTAATAACAAGATATAAAGCCATTCTATTGAATGATAAGTACATAAACGACTATATATGTGTATATATATATATATATATATATCCAAAAAATGAAAAGAAATATCACAGTGTCCGGTAATTAATATGAAAATTAAAAATAACAAGGCAACAATGTTAGTAAAACGTATTACTAATAGTATAACGTTTTACTAACATTGTTGCCTTGTTATTTTTAATTTTCATATATATATATATATATATATATATATATATATATATATATATATATATATATATATATATATATATATATATATATATATATATAATCTTTATAAATATCTCAAAAGGCTAAGAAACCAGAGTTACTGTGAGCACTGAGCTAATGATACCCCGCCTCCCATATAATTATAATGGCAAAGCTCATATTTTGCTATGGGAGACCCAAAATGAGGGCTCGATCAAAAAGTAAAGTTGGAGGTGCACAGTAGCCCTTTGTGACTAAGATTCTACGAAAGTATCATTAAATTTTATATAGTGGTATAGGAGGAGATGGGTACCCCTCAATATTATAGAAAGAATGGCAGTGTCTATGTTTTGCTATTGGAAACCTGAAATATGTGTCTGAGCAAAAAGTAAAATAGGAGGTCCACAATACTTTGCAACAAAGATTCTGTGAAAATATCATTAAATTAAGAGGAGTTGCGGATAAAAGATGGGTAGCCCAAAGTGTAACGGACGGACGAACGGACATCACCATACACTCCCCGCTTTTCATGTGGGGGTTATAAAAATACGGAGAAAAAACCTTATCAGTAAAGCAGACAATATAGGCTGTAATGCGCTTTACTCTCTCTCCAGAGAAAGTGGTAAAGCTTTGAAATCCACTCCACGGCATGCTTCTTGAGCTTTAACAATATAGATAACAGCAAGATCAAAGAAAGGTTTTCCTCAGACAAAATGTTTAAAACATCGCTGTGTGGCAGTTATGTTCCACTTTTAGCAAAAGCAATTTCTTGTGTTTAGTAAGCTTTTTTTCATTTTATAATTAACTCTATGTTCTAATTGAAGGCAATGCAAGAACAATGCCTATCAGACGAATTGTCTAGTCTTGTGGATAAGATTTGTAGTTTCGCTTTCAGTGTAAACGATATTTCAAGAATCTCTCTTATCATTTCTCTAAATCGTGAACACTATCTTTCTCACTTCTGAAGACAAACTGCAGGCTGCGGTCTCGGTTACCATTCCTGGGCTGTCGAAGCAGGTGCGATAGCAAAGAAATACGTACATATCTTCTTATTTTCTTTGGTTGAAACACACGAATTGATGCTGAGATATACAGTATTCAAATGATATGCAAAAATAACATTCTGCAACGGCAAAACGTCAAAGTTCGTGTAGCTTGTAAATCTTTTTGACTACTGATAATGTAGTTTGACGTTAAATATTACCATTAAGTTATGTTTCAAGACACTACGCAGTATACTGAATTCTATTTTAAAGAATTTGCTGAAATTTTATAAATTAGGGAAATGGGGTTTATCTAAGATAATGGAGTGAAAAGATTTCTAACAAAGCACTGGGCTCGTTTAGGCACCTAATCCCACCTCTGAAATTTCCAGGGGTTCTTGTTTTATGCCCTGTTCACAAATATATCCTAGAATACCCATAAATCGTTCCCTTACGACATTCAACGTCATAGTAACGGCGAGCGCGTGCAAATTGATACACAAACTTCAGTGCGAGCTATAGAACGGAAATGCTGATTAAATGTTAAAATTCATTTTTTCATATCACTCTTGACAAGATTTTAGAGCTCTTCTACAAAATCAAACTTTTACACTTAAAAATGTCACTCATACCCTAGATTCGTCCTTCAGATATAAAAACGGACGAAAGCGATTGGTCCATTTGTTTTTCGTGCTTTGTGATAAAAAAAGGTGGAAAATCATTAAAATAAAAATTGTAAATAAAGTTCCTCTGTGGAAAAGGTTTTTTTTTTTTTTTTTTTTAAAATATTCTTATCAATTTAAGAACATTCAATTGCTTTAGCTATTACCGACTCCGTTTTCTTTTTAAGAAACAAGAATGTGCTTTCAGATTTACATTGTCAACGATGTCATTACAATACATGCTCATCAAATTACCTGATATGTGAATTATACAATGTTACATGTATATTTCAGATTTTCCCAAATTCATTGGCCTTACTGGCAAAAACCGATAGAAAATCAATATATTCGAACAGTGCAAGTCTGACCGACACAATCTGGAAAAATCAGAAAACTTTAATTTAATGGTTGGGGTTACGAGGTAGACTTGAAATTGATCTCCTAATTATATGTAAAATGTTCACGTTACAGGAAAAAAACTTTTTAACTACTGTGTAGTAGATGAGAAATTAATTAAAGAGTGGCAGTAAAGATCTTGTTTTACTAGATTAGCAATATGTCGTGAATTTCATACCCCAGTAGACGATCGCTGGATTAGTTATGCTTCAATGCACATGGCACCTGTGAAACTGGTAAAAATTGTGACAAAAATACACCTTCTTTGGTCGACTAAATAAAACTACTGTTTGATAAAATAAATTTTTGGTATATAAAAATGAAATATTCTCTTCTTAATTACTTGACTACTTTTCGACTTTTTTGCGAAGGGGGGGGGGGGTATTAATCAGAACTGGCGACTGCTAGGTTAAAAGTAGATCTATTTAAACAATGTGATCATCATTGCTTGGGTATGTTGAAAGATTGATTTTTTTAAGGGTGGAGGGGGGGGGGGTATGATAAATTCTTACGTACGATAAATATTGATTTTATTTATTTGTCATTTTAATAACATATTCCTGGAGAAAAAAATCTCGATTATATACAACTTATAAAAAACAAAAACAAAGAACCTCCCCCCCCCCCCCCCAAACACACAAAAACACACACACACACACACAGATGAAAGAAAAAAGAAAAACACCAGCATGATGTAAAATGTTTTAATTTGTAAGACCAACAGAAATTCTATTGTTGGAAGCATTCACAGTTATTAGTCAAAGTTACTGATAAAATCTTTGATTTTTGGAGACTCTATCATTTGCAGTGATGACTTAGATTTTTTTTCTGAAATAATTTGTAATACCGCATAGTACGTCAACCAAACACGGGTAACGTCAATTTCTAGGTGGAAAGTGTATAAGATCCTTATGATTTGGGAGCATTAAATTTTTGTTTTCAAATTCTTATATTAAAAGCCCATGCACGTAATTCAATACTTTGACAGGTATAAAATAATAAAATGAAGGTAAATTTGATCTGGAAGTGATTTTTGGGAACGTAACTGCCGTGTACACTTTCAATAAAAAATGGACCTAAGGAAAAACAGATAGTTTAAGGATTTTTATTTTTCTTTAATTTACTACGAGTTTAAACTGCATATTCTAAAAGATAATTGCTATCACATTTGCATCCTTGTGTTTACCAGTCAAAACAATTAAAAGTGACGTCATCGATACATAGTTCGAAACGTGCGGGCTGCGTCAAGTTTGAGGACGATTTTAGGGTACGGACGAATTTAGGGTATATGACGATATATTGTTTGAAAAAAAAATTGAGATCGATCACTGTTCATTATATTCAAATTTTTCAATTGAATGATAGTAACTCAACAATCTCCGATTTCTTCGCTTATTAGACATAAATATCTTAATAATAACTGTTTGGGATATTTATGGCATGTAAATTCCAGATTTACAGTTATAATTTCCCTTGATTCTTCTTCCAAATTCCTTAATTTACATATGCAACATGAATCTAAAATAAAAATCCCATATCTTTTTCCCAGGCAGGCGAAATGAAAGATGTATACATTGTATATAAACCCAGTTTCTATTTCTCGACTCATTTTCTCGTGTATTTATATCCATCATTAGCATGAGCACTTACCAAGATAAATAGATCGCTGGATGATGGATGGGCAACACACTTGCCAGAAAAGTGATCATTAAAAATATGTTACCAATTAACGAATTGGTTGCTACCTTTCTATGTATTGAATTATGTTACCCTTTTTTAAACTAAATACATTTTTTAAAGATTTTGAACGTGTATTCACTTACTATTTACATTTCCCCATAGAAAGATGTTTTATTTTTTGAAAAAAAAAAAAGACAAGACCTCCACCCTTCGTTTACTTTTTTGATGTCATTTTTGACTTGATGGTAGTTCCTTGCAATTGAATTAAGTATCACATTATGTGACGAAGTGATATAAGGGCAATAACAGAGCATAAAAAATGAAGATTATTTAAATTCAAACAAGTTTAACCCCCAGTGAAATTGATACAAGACTTTACATTAAGTCTTGAACTGCAATAGACTGAAATTTGAATTAATATCTCAGAAAAGGGGTTATCAATTTTTTACTGGTAGAAAATAGTTATAAAAACCATTTCTATGTGAAATAGTGTAACTTTTGAATTGAAGTCCTCTTGTTATTTGCCGACAAGCCAGACAATGAGACAGAAACATGGGTTAAACAAAGGTAAACACCAGTGTGCTGTCTTCTTTCCTGTAGAATTATGATGATTATGACTATAACAAGGACGAACCTCAGAACCTCGCTTTGAGTGATGACGACAGCGAATGCGGACCAGTACCAGATATAGTGCTGACAGGTTTTTGTAAAAAGAAAACATGCTCAAGTCACACTGACTGCCGGAAGAAAAACCAACGGTGCTGTTTTAATGGATGTGTTAAAACGTGCATGAGACAACCTGATCCACCGCCTTGTACGTACATTCACATTAATTTTATACATGTATGCCATGCAGTTCCTTGGTATGATTATTTTTCTAATGTCAGTTTAAATTTTATATCCATTTTAGGATGCTTGTTTTGATTTTCAAATCTCAGAAATCGTTGTCGCAATTTTTTTTTTTCAAAATTATTTGATGTAAAATAACACAAAGTTCCAGTTGTATACATGTACATAATACCAGCTGTTGTTCGTCATATTCAGAAACAGAATGAAGTGATAATATCTTTAACATAAAATTTTACAGTTATTGACTGGATAAAAGAGCCCAGAAGCAGAATTGTGTCTGGTGAGAGTAAGAGGGTTGCCCCAGGAAAAAAGCAAACTTTTCAATATTTCAGAAACTATTCGACCAAAACTAATAATTTTTTCAGGTTGTTGAAAAATGATATTTTCGATATTTTGACAAAATATTATAGGCTTGTGATGACATGAGTATATAAAAACAACATTTAAAGGGTGTTAAATATCGGTGGTCGGCGCACGGCAATTTTTTGACTTTGAGAAGTAGCATTGTCAATGAAGTTTTCTTTATTACTAGGCTCTACGGACATATAATGTCACAAAATTTACCTCCATAAATACTCTTTCATCTGGTGTACTCGTGTATAAAAATTCATTAATTTGATATCATTAATGACAAATATATGACGTTATATGCCAAAACACTTTTAATTAGATATTGTCAAAAATGGTGAAGTTTGTCGATAATGTGGAGTACCAAATTATTAAGCAGTACTGTGTTGAGTGGGATATGACTCCTATCCATTCGATAAAAGAGATGTTAACGATGGGGAAAACAGAAACATAAATCTTGGACACAGGTTTATCTGTTGTTGAAGAGGTTTGAGGATGGCTTGACTGGTTATAGAAGAGGCGTTTTGTAGACCAACAAAAATAAAAACAAACTGAAAGTCAGGAGCTGGACATCATAGGCCTAAGTGCAGGCCGCCGTTAAACAATACGAACTGTTAGGTTTATGATCGGGACTAAGAAATTGTCTATTTAAAAGAATTCATTCCGCAATCTTTTGGCAACACTAGTATTTGAGATGTATAACTTGGTAAATAAAAGAAAATTAAATACAGTGCCGAATTTCTGCTTAAACGAATTTTCTCAGAAGCACATTTCCAGAACAAATTCACAAACGCCACAAGCTACGTTTAGACGTCGTCAGTGTTGCGCCGCCAACTGATTTGTTAGATTCGTTTACCTGAGAGATAAACGTTATTTACAGAGATATTTCATTGAAATTTTTATGCATTATTCAAAAAATGTTGATTATGATGTTTGTCAATTTTAACTTTATAGTATTAGAGAAACAAAAGATATTGAAAATGTTCGCGTATTTCTGGGACAACCCTCGTATATGTATTTCCTTCCATTCAAAATGAAATAAAAGTAGATTAACTGACGTATTTAAAAAATTTCAAATTATTCTCCATTGAAATTTTATATTCTTATCATTTCAGGTGTATCCTGGCTTATCAATGGGCCCTCCAATAGAAACGAACGTGAGAATGCAAAACTGTTATGACGACTCTTGTATCGAGTTGATCCTTGATAATACGTCTTATTTTTTTTTTTTTAATTATTTATGCACTGTTGGCGAATACTTCCCGTATCTACCCTCAATTATTTTATTTTCAGGAGTTTGAAAAATCTTTGATTTTAATTCATTATATAGTTATACTTAAGGCTATAGAAAAATTACCGTGATTTGTTAAGTGTCTTCTGAAATTTGAGAACTTCATGTGAATATATTGTAGCACAATTTGGGACATCCCATCAGCGAACTTGGAAAATTTTTATAAGCACAACTGAAACAAATACTGTCTGATTTAACGAAAGTTATTAATTTATAATAGTTAAGTTTTTAGTAAACTGAATTACATTTGGGAGAAGAATTTTCATAACAGTTAAGGCACCATACACAACACATGGCCAGTTTTACCCTCTAATTCAAACTAACTTTCTAAGCAAATTTTTGTGCGACTCGCAATCGACACGCTAATTTGTTTTGAGTGCCACATTTGAAAGAAAATCACACATTACTACCAGAGCCCGTAAAATAAGATATTTATTGTTTGAGTCCCAATCACCCAACACTCAGCAGCTGAGATGACAAACACTCATTGTTCATTATTAAGATTGAGTATTTATTTACTATTGATAGATATACTCACACAGCGACAACAAACAATGCATACAATGTTATTTTTAGGTGTACAGAAAGACGAGTTGTGCAACGTTTTTTTTTTCTGATTTGAACTTAAGTGTACTTGTACATAGATGGAATTCTCTATTTTCCACTTTTTTCTCGCAAGAACAGATGATACAAAGAAAAGAAAATGATGCATGGATTGGTATATGTGTTTTGACCTACTTTGGTTTAATAAAAAAGGTGAAGATAACGAACAGTGATTGATCACAAAAAAACCTTCAAGCAATACAAATCTTACACACAGACCCTGTAAATTTCAGGTGGGATCAGGAGCCTAGGAGGAGTAAGCATCCCCTGTCCACCAGTCACACCCGCCGTGAGCTCTATGCATTCGCACTCGTGAAAATATCAAAAAATCCTGTCCCACTCGTGAAATAAATTCCATATTCATCTACAAAACATTGAATTTTCTGTTTATTACATTTTCTTTCCTTTGCCTCTGTCTTTTCTTAACACAGTGTCATAGATAGGCTTGACGTCATAGTTAAGCGGTTGAGACGTCATAGTTTAGCAGTTGTGAGATTGAAAACATTACATAGCATGGATTTTAGCAACATATTTTGGAAGAAAATTGCAGTTTTAGCTCTATCAAGATGTTCAGTTACTATCTCTATCTTATGACAGGTCTGAAATTATTTTTTACTTACTTTGATATCCTTTCACACTGTGAGAGAATATCATTTTGGTATCCTTTCACACTGTGAGAGAATATCACTTTTATTCAATAAATAAATCACAGTATTTCACTGTTGAAAATGTAATAAATTCCAATATTAAAGGGTTGATACAAAAATAATGTCACTAGTGCCATCAATCTCACAACGTCAGGGGTTCTGTGTCAAGTTGACTCGTTTCCGTGGGACCCCTGACAAATTTCATTTGTTTCTTTTTTTGGGCAAGCTTCCCTCATTTAGAAGCACCAATCAAATTGAAGTAGACGAGTTGACACAGAACCCCTGACGTTGTGAGGATGTAGTGCTAGAAAATAAGATAATAGGAAGATTATCAAAATTTTACATACTAATACCTCATTCCAGTTTGTTACCATTAAAAAATCATTAATTTTAGTTTTGCATATAAATATATAAATCACCACGCTTTAAGTTGGTTTATTAAAATTAATTTAACTTTCCAATTTTCATTTCTAAATTCATTATTCGCGTACATCGCCCGATTAAAAAGTAAGTGACTGATCGTGCACAAACTTTTAAAATGTTGAAAAAGACTTTTAAAATGTTGAAAAATATGATGTCTCGACATAAAGTCAAGAAATGACTATTTTATGACTACAAAGAAGGGATGAAAACTTTACAGAGATAAAAAAAAATACATAAAATAACATTTTAAAAAGAAGTCGATTGATTGTATGTTGTTTTAACGTCCTATTCGAGAATTTTTCACTCATAGAGACGTCACCGTATCAAGAAAGTAAGTGGATGATCAGCCTGTGTTTACTCTTGAATCCGATGACACATGAAATCTACATGTACGCACAGCGCAATGAACGCACTTTGGCGATGTTCATAAAAATGCGTGTGGGAGATTTAATAGATTTTTGAAATAACTAAAAATGAGTGCTGACAACTGACGTCATAAAGACGTCAGTCATTCTTATGTCCTGCAGCATATCTGAATGAATTTTTTGGGCTTAAGTGAAAAAGACAGGGATATTGGTACATAAAAGTTTGCTCATGGCGTCTTTGTATTAAGATTATTTCTGATCAATCCTCGAATATGTTCGATAGTCGTTCAATAAATAATTCAATAGGTCATCTAAGAGTAAGAATAGTGCGTTATACATATCCTAATCATTTTCAATCACTCATAGCATTCCCTGTAAGCCTTTACACATGTCTCAAGTCTTTGTACCCATGACCAGAAAGCCTCAGCATATCCATCTTTAGGGATGCCCCAAAGACAGTGATGAATATCACTTTCCATGACATATCTAATAATGTACAATCTTCCTTTGATTGTTTTCATGCATTTTTAGAATAAAAAGATCTCACAATGGCTGAGATCTAGCGAATATAGGGGATGGCAAAGCTCTGTAAACTTTCTTTTCTTCAGAATTTCATTTATTTTTCTGTGCTTATTTGCAGCAGCGTTGCTATGTCAAGAAAATTACCCTGGGGTGGTATTTGGACTTCCTTTGCAGGAAATCTGTTTACGTTTCCTCAGTGCAATTTTAACATAAAAGTTACCATTGATGGTCCTTCCTTTGGGTGTATCTACATGTTTTACTGGACCTCTTGGAAAAAATGAAAACTAATTAAACATGCTTGAAAACCTTATTTCTCTTTACAATAATAAGAACGATAGTTTTTCTTTGATTCCACATTTTATTATTGATCTTCCTTGTAGCTATAAAAAGTGCACCCATGTTTCGTCACCCATCACGCAAATTTAACAAATCTTTTATTTTGTTAAAATATTGTTTTTAAGTAGACCTTTGGCATATTTAATGCGTATTTTTCTGTTAGGCAATTTAAGAAAATAAGGCATATATCTGATAGAAATATTATCATATTCATTTCCGTTGTCAGAATTATAAAATGTTATGACGATGAAATGGTTTATGTTTTATCAACGTCTTTTGGTGTAAATCTGACATTTTCAGTTATCTTGTTGCACATTTCATCGATAATTTTTGGTGTCCCTACAAATTGCAATCGACCAGTTTGACTTTTATATTTTAACTCTCCTTTTTCACTTTTGAATTTCTGAATCAATCTGAAAACTATACAGCGTTAAAGACTATTCTTTCTACATATAAAAATCATATCTTTGATATGAGTTCTTCGGCGATTTATATAAAGAAGCACAGTTTTCACATACGTTCTCATTTTCATCTTCTTGGCAGAGATCATTTTAAACAGTTTTCAGCTCAGTGTAGTGACCATGCATACTTTGAAAGTGAATTTCTTCGCGAGGACAATAGAATAAATTATGGGGGTTTCTGTGATTAGGAGCTTTTTAATTGAACGTTTCAACTGTGAAAAAATAAAATTAAATATATCTACATTTACTTTGATATACTGTTTGTTGCATTATTTATTGAACGACCCTCGTAGATGGATGAAATAAACGGTGAAGGAATTTAAAAGATGCCATGGAAACATTTTTGCATTATGAATATAAAAAAACCACTTTATTTTGAAGTTCAAACCTGTACAACATCACCATTTGGAAAGAATGAGGATCCATTGATGTGTCCCCATGGATACACGTGTCATGTAGTAATAAAGGGTAACAAGAAGAAACGAATCCAGAACAGGGGATACTGTGTTCCGGAAAAAGAAAATGGTAAAAAATCGAAATTCCTCAACACCTGACATTTATCATATGTCCCGGAAACATCGTTCATATTTTCTTTTCTCTGTTCCAATGATCAGCGTACTCTTCTCGTGTTTACTTAAGATTTCGCCTTTGTTTTTTCAGCAGTTGTTCGTAGCCATCGTAAACAGAACAACAGGTCAACAGTCACTGGAGAATGTCCACTGGATAAATACATTTTAGCGGAAGGGGCTTTCATGCTATTCGATGGCAAAAAATGGTATGAAATATTCTTTAGATATTTTTTTCCGCACACGATTTTGTATTTCAAGTATTCTGTTAATTCGTAGCGACTTTTGATTGGCAGTGAAAAATATAAAATATGATACCTGTATGATTTGACTTAAGGTTTCTTTTATTTTTATTTTCTTTTTCAGCTTTTGCAAAAAAGGTTTTCTAGAATGCTTGGAAATGAAAGGATAAAGTGATTTTAAAGTCTGTGGTGGAGGAAATAGATTGTGTTTAATAAAAATAAAGAAAATAAAATACATTGTTCTCATGATACATGTATTACATTTTTGTGGATTGTCTGGCTTTTAACCTCCTTCTTCAAACGTTATAGACTAAATTACCTGAAAACTTTACCAAATTTCCGCTGTAATTGAAATTTGTTCCAAAATAGGAATGTGACCTCTTGTAGGGGAGATAATAGATTAGTGAAATTACTAAAAAAAATCTATTCAAGTAGAAGGGGGCTAATATGATATAAGTTATATAAAAAGCCGTATAAGGTAATACGGTCTACATGCTGGAAATATTAGTTGAAAAGTCTACACAAAGTTTTGAAAAGTTCTGTTCAGACTTCTCGGTGATCTTTTAAGATTTTCATATTTATGCTTAATATGTTGAATATTATATTAAATAGGAATATCTTTAATTAAATAATTGGCTTGAGCATTAAAAAGATAATTTATTTTCATCCGAAATTGTCATTTGACCTTTCCCTTGTTAAATTGAGTTACTAGTTTCCTCAATTAAAATATAAAGTAGAGCCTTTTGAATATGTTTACAACTACATCAAGGATTCATGCATAAAACTTGTATGCAAGTTTCTTCAAATGGTTTAGTGTGAAGATCACCGGTCTGCAAAAAGTGTATATTTATTGCGCACAAAAACGTGCGCACGGTCCGAGCGGTATCCACATAATTAACTTACAACTCTCTTTCCACCCTAACAAAAATTTACTATAGTTAACTATAGTGAAAACTTTGATACTTTGAATACTATGAAACTTTACTCTGGACTTTTTGGGGATTTCAAAGCTTAAAATCTCTTAAATTCGATAACAGTAATGTAAAATTTTAAAATAATATGTGAATATACAAATAATATTTCAATTTAATATAAAAAATGTGCATGTATGAGTTGAAGAACAAAAAATATAACGATCTGAAATCCATAGTAAAAATACTTTGATTTACTATATGAAAAAACTTCGATACTATAGTAAACTATAGTTAACTATAGTAAACTATAGTACTTTTTTGTTAGGGTATGCACGCTTTTTAGTGCACAATATAAAAAATACATGTTTTTTAATGGATGGATCTGTAGATATAGCTAATAGAGGGCCATGCTACAGAAATTTTGGGTAAAGAAATATAAAGGAAAAATCTTAAGATCTTAAGAACAACAAGACTATCATAACAAAATTTGCATGAAAATATAAAATTGTGGAATTTAAAAGCAGCGAAGCAATTTCATATAAAAAAGACAACTTATGAACGATATACCATAAGTTTTTGTCTATAGTTTATCAATTTGTTTTCAAAAAAAAAATCTCAGACATTTCAATATCAACGTATTTGATCTTCTACGTTATGTCGTACAAAGTCCTTTCACTGAGTCCATCGAAGTAAGGGTAAGGTGCTTAGATGTAAATTTCGAACATGTAAAGTTCAACATAAAAATACGAAGAAACCCTTTTTTGTCTTTTTTTCCCTTCCTTTTTTATTTTTAAAACTTTGAAAGGGGTGTGGGGGTATCGGTGCAATCTTAGAAATACCATATTTTCTATAATCAACTTTAGTTTACTATAGGTTACTTTATAACTTTAGTTTACTACAGTACATATTTTTATACTTTGATTTATTATGAAACTATACCCCTGATTTTTTTTTAATTTAGAGATTTCGAGTCCTTGATGTAGTATCTAGATGTATGTAGTATGTAGATTTATCCGTTATTTCCCGACAAGGAGGACACGGCGGGTGTGACCGGTCGGCTGGGGATGTTCACTCCTCCGTGGCACCCGATCCCACCTCTGATGTTTTGGAGGTCCGTGTTTGCTCTGCACCTATTTTGTATTGATTAATGGACTTTTGAACTTGAATACTGTTCGTTATCTCCATATCTTTCATTTAACTCCATACCAATGATGTAAATTTAGTAAAAATACTTGAAAATACAAGTAATATTTCCTTTTAATAAAACACGTAATACTCTAGTAATTGGAGGAAAAATAAAATATAATAATTTGAAATTCAAAGTAAAATAATTTATTTTTCTAAATTAAAAACTTTGATCAAGTGTAGTAAAACATTTGATATTTAACTATTGTTAACTATTGTGAGCTCTAGTTTTTAAATTTTTGTTTAGGACAATGTAAGTATATCCGATATACGTTCCCTGTAAATAGGTTCAAAATAATTTTTTCCTTCTATAACTTTATTTTCGTTATTATATTTTTATGGTGAATTGTGTTATTATATGCGTGCCATCATATGCCTCTTAAAAAGAAAGGGAAAGCAAACGTGTTTAAATCTCTGATGATGTTTATCAGGAGCATTCAGGAGCATTGTGTTCCCAGGAGGTTCCGTCAACAAGAACCTCTAGCCAAACTTTGAATAAACACAAGAGCCATGGGATCAATTTCAAATGCTAGAAATAAACAAAACCTTTGCCAAGATATCAAAAGAACGTACTTTTTTCTACGATGGCTGATAGCGGCTGTCACTTACACTGACGTTTTATGTGTAATGTGTACAACGTTTCTGTGAAGACTCTTTGACACTTTACCCCTTTAAGTAAAAGTGTTCAGTTTCATTGCAAAATTTTCACACACTTTAAGCCAGCGTTATTTTTGTAAATTGTAAGGAAAAGTACACTCTACATCTTAAGTTGGTATCAATTATCAAAACTGAACCAGTATTTTCTGGTCCTTTTGTAATTCAAGGAAGTATAATGCGAAGAAATTCCTTTGCAATTGCCCTTAGGCTTGTAAGGTTTATTGATTTCTGCAAAATTATTTTAAAGCATGTGGTTATTTTGGGATTAGGAGAAAACATTCCATATTTTAATATATTCTTTAAATGTTCAACGGTTTTTATCGACCTTTACAAAAGTTAAACTGTTTTTCTTCCTCATGGTTCCTTAGCTTTGTTCATCTGTGAGGGAAAAAAATTCAAAAGATTAAATGGTTTAGTTTATCTTTTACTTCGCTGAATCAAGCATGAAAGACAATTTGTCTAAAATACGTTTTCTTCAGATTTAAAATAAAACACTTGCATGATTTACCCCCGTTACCTAATAAACAGTTAACATTTCAAAAAAACTGTTGCAATTGTTTCCACATACCTATTTTCCACTGGATTTTCTTCCTGTCATTCAATTCTTTTTTGAGTAGACAAAAAATCAAGACAGTTGCACAAGAGCTAAGTACTGTGAAGATTATAAAGCTCCACATAAAACAATGTAATCCAAAGCAATTGTTTCTAGAGTCGGTATTTAAATCGTATAAAGTACCAAATATTTGTTGCATAAAAAGATGACAAAAAGCTTGTCCAAGTAACACGAAACCATAATTCCTTCCAAAGTATTTCATACCATAGAACTCGCTGACCATTGTTGGTGTTATAGAGAAATAGATACCATTGGATGATCCAAAAAATATTACAGCTATAATAAAGAAGATGAGTTTGTCTAACAGAAATATTGACAAGATTAGACATATTGTTTGGATGACGGTGATTATGAAGAGAATACCAGATCTTGGAACTTTGAGCAAAATGAAATCTGACAAAACCCCTGCGAACAATTTGGAGAAGACACCAGCAATGGGAACTAAGGTTGCAGAAATGGTGATATAGCTTTCTAATCCAAAAGATTTCAGGTATGTTCCTGTGTTGTTTTGAAAAGTAAGTAGAAGACTGGTAGAAAATATAAATGCCCAGAAAACGTAATGGAAATCACGTCTACGAATTAATTTCTGTCCCGTGACATCGTTTTGCTGTTTGAAAATACTTGGCGACAGTAGTGCCTCTGAGTCGAGAAGATCGTTCGTATCGTCATCCATTTTTATCTTTAACTGCTTCAAAAATAAAATTCCTAGGCACCCAGCAACTCCAAATGTAACTGCCGACATCAGATAGAAGCCACAAAGATCCTGCTTTTCCTCATCTTTTATGTGACCCCTAGCAAATATTGATCCATAAACTCCAACAAATATAACCGGTCCAAAACTTATACATGCGCAAAGAATGCCGACTATTTTCCCTCTGTGCTTTGGATGATAGTTGATCATATTTGGGATCAAACAGGACAAGCTCATGAACGAGCCACTCAAACCTAAATCAAGAAAATAAATTTTAATGGCTATCGTGTGCACATTTCCTCTTGTATTGAAAATAGAAAATAACGGAGAATTTTTTTTTTTGAAAAAAAGTTATCTTTAGGATGGAAGAAAGGTATTTGACTTTGAGTGTAACAGCCATGAAAGTGGTATCCAGTTTATCGGATATTTGCCTTTACACATAAGCATGCATCTATACACACATTTTAACACGGGAACCTGTTTCCCTTTTTAAAAGACATAAGACATAGAAATGTTTAGGGAAAAGGAAAATTTCTAGACGACAAGTCAGTAAAAGAAGAGTCAATAGGAATTACATGTATCATAGTATTTAGTTTTTGACATCTGTGATTTTTAATAAAGATTGTATATCATAATATGATATAAAATCCTCACTTTTCTTACAGTTAATGAATTATCAACAAACCTGTCATGAAATAATAAACACATTGCAACCAGAAGTGTGTATAGTAGAAAGGTCGCATTTGCGTAGTTTTGTATAACAAAATAAATCCAATGGTCCCAAAAAGAAAACCTCCAAAGGCTATCCACTTGACGCCAAATGCTTCATACAAAATTCCTACTGGAAGGTCGAGATTTATTCCCAAAATTGAAAAACCTTCAAGAAATTCCACTGGAAATAAAAAAGTATCTTTATTTTATGTTTATAACTATGCACATTTCATCAAATAAAAAATATATAATCGAAGAAAGCAACAGATTATGTTGCCGGTGAAGTTTTGATTTTACACACATAAATAATTCAGGTCTTAAATAGGTATGTCTATTTAAAAGTTAATAACTACTATTTGAGTATACATGATTTAAACATTGAAATATTTGGGGGAAAACCATGCGGTTTTAGATATAAATACAATACAATCTAAACAGCACTGTTTTTTATTTGACTTTGTACTATGAACATTCTTATTCTTAAATAAAAATATAAGTTGTGATTACAGATTATTACTTCGTGAAATATCTGAAAATATAATAAACGCATATATACTAAAGATCAACTAACGATGGACACTTAATTGAGATGAATATTTATATTTGTCTATCATTCTTTGAAACATTTTTTTTTAATTCGAGAAAAGAATCCTCATTGTATCAATGTTTCTTAATCCATTTTTAAACACCATTCATTACTATAAACTAGGGATAGCAATCAAATACGGAATAACCAATCGGTTAACGTTCCGACCGCTTAATCGGTTAATCGTATCAACATTATGATGTAAGTGCTTTTCAAATCGCAAAACGTAAAGGTGTTAGGAAAATTATGTGTTTTATCAGAGCAATATTTATTATGGAAAAATAAATTTAAGAAAACCATGAAACTTGCCTAAAAGATCAGACACATTAAAAATTTTTTCACTAGATGTCACTCAAGTTCATTCTGCATTGTCACTATTACCAGAAATAAGTCTTAACTACCTCTTAATTTACAATGTTTGTTTAATAATATAATCTGATAGGTAACTGCAAAGGATAGATGAAATGATATACACATTATAATCAGTTTGTGGTACTCAACGATCATTTTATTAAATCATTTAAGAAACACAAGGCAGGGTTTACACAGCAATTAACATCTCATAAACTGACCAATTACACAAAGTTAATCAGGAGAGGTTTAATTATCTCTGAATTGGTTTAGATCGAAAGGTGAAAATGCGTACATTCAGAAATATTCATTTGTATTTTTGTTATTGATTTTTAAGGAAATTGTGTTCAAATTTACATACATTTTTTTTTTAAATTTTTTCCGACAACTAACTGATAACAGAATTTCTAACCGATTACCATCGTTCCGACCGAGTAACCGGTTAACCGATACAAATTTCCATCTTCGATTCACACTGACTAGTTTTGCGATAACAATACCTTGAGTACAATCAATATATTGTTAAGAAATAGAAAGATAATTTACCTTGAGTCTGTGTGTAGTTGAACTGAGCCTTGATAGCGTTACTGTAAGCTCCAAAGGATTGATAATGACCGGAAACAGCTAATCCTACACACCCAACAATGAATGTGAGACCACGCTCTACATTTTCTGGTAACATTCTCCTGTTTAAAATATGAGAATAATTTTTTTGCAGTTAATTTGTGTCACATAGTATAAATACAAAAGGCATGCTATATGTAAATTTGTAGGATCATCCCAAGAATAAACGCAGTATACGCATGATTATTGAACTAGGCTAAAGAGACCTTGATATATTAAATATACGTTTTTGCTATCGATTCTCCTCAGTAACACTTATTTTACTAAAATCTCCCAATAATATTGATAATCTGTCAATCTGATGCAGTATGGTCAGTGATTCGTTAGACGCATTTTCATTTAGATAAACATAAACTAGTACCCTTTTGTGAATCTCTTTATCCTCAGTAAATAATATTTTTAGCTTCGAATAGAATAATATTGTTAATTATAGATTTATTGATTGTATGTTGTTTTACGTCCAATTCAAGAATTTTTCACTCATATAGAAACGCCACCATATACCAATGAAGGGCTTCAAATTTAGACCTATACTCGCGCGGGACCGGCATACTGTGCTATTTAACCGTTAGGAATCTTCATTGTTCAAAGGCCTACCGTGACACGGGACCTCGATTTTTAAGGTGTCATCCGAAAGACTCGTAAAATTACATACAATCAGTCAATTCCACGTGTTTTCATAAAACATATCTAAGTAATATTGTATTGTATAGAATGCGTTAAAAAAATGAAAATTCTCAATACACCTATTTTCGGGGCATAGCGAGCGTCAACGTTGTCAACGTTTGGCATTTCCAGTGGAGAAGAACTACGTTATTCATATCAACATAACTTGCTTTATAATCGCTGAAAACTTCACGTTTCCATGTTTTGGTTTTTAAAAAGGCTTGGACAAACTAGCTCTCCAAAAACCACTAAATTACAAAATCAAAATAAAAATATAGTTTAGATTTTTTGATGTTCTCCAGACCTGAAAGTTTCGAGCAAGCTGTTTCAGAGAATTCGCGTGCACAAAATCGGTAAAGAAAAAAAACATTATTAATAAAATTGTGGAAAAGAAACTCAAGAATGATAAGAAGGTCCTCCGTAAGATACTTACTTTGATATGTGTGTTCTCTGCATTTGAACAATCTTAAAACAACAAAATACATTGAACGCATGGTATGCGATCGAGTCCAATTAACTATACTTTCATTATAATTTTACAAAAAAGCCCAGTTTCATCACAAAAACAACACAGAGAGTAATTAATAAATAATTCTCGCGGTAGTGAAGCATTTAAAATTACTTTGTACATGTACTATGTCAACAGTTTTTGTTGAGGATAATTATATTATTGACTGTGTCTGAGGAAAAAACGGTTTCTCAACTTTGAGATGAGAATACCATCTCGGTTTCACTCTTCTGTCCGAATGTCATTTCATTATTCAATCGTCGGGCCATTCTCCTTTTAACCTACTTTTACATGTATATTTGTTCGCATTTACTGTACTCATGAGCTGAAAAACTCAAAGATAAAAAAAATCTGAACTGATAATATTCAAAGCCAAATATAGTTCTCGAACGATTTACATGTACTTAAGCACAAATAAATCCACTCCGTTGATAATATAGAAGTATTGATAGCTGTGCTACATAGTATGCATCGAAGTATAAAAATACGATGCTGTGAAACCTTTGACTGACGTATACACTAGCCATAAAGACATTTTATAAACACTTAATGAAACTGTTGAATTTAAAACATTGAACAATTTAAAACATAACGACAGAAATTGCAGTCATTAAAGTTGGAAACATTGTACATAAAAAAGAGATACTTTAATATATACCTTACAAGTTTTCTTGTTACTGTAAACATACTGTTTTCCACGGGGTCATAATTACCGGGTACACGAAATCAGAACTTCTGTTCAATCCACGGGTAGAAAACTAGGGGGATTTCTAGGACTATAATTGTATTTCTTAAAGTACGTTGTGACGAGGAAGAAGGTACGTTTTGGGCTTTCTTGTGCCCTAAAATGTTGTAATTTTAAAAAAATTATGGAATTGGCTTGAATATGAGTTGATTATATGCAATTGATAAATGATGAAAGAATATGGTATGAAGGAGGACCATTCTGGAAATATGACATCATTAATTTGGTATATTTCTAAGTTTTTAACAGGAAAAAAACCTATTTAAAAATGACTCATTTCTGAAGTCATTTTCCTTAAGAAAATAGTGTCCATAGCTGTCGCCCACTTTCATTTTCGGATATATTGTGTAAAATCAATTGAAAAATCACATTTCTCAAAATTTTTTTTAGGGCTTTGCATGTGCCATATTTAATCTGAAAGAAAAATCTACTGAAAGCTGATTTATTCTGCAACATTTTTAAAGAAAATATGGGAATATGCACAAGTTCATGACATCACAATTAGCATTTTGGAGGATATACGGGAAAAAAACGATTTGTATGTTCTAAATAACTGCATGGAATTTTAACGATTTAGAATGCATTAGTTTTAATTTCGTTTACCACTTTAATATTGTACAAAAAGACAGGACCAGATTTGTATTGAAACCGTACCTTCTTCCTTCCTTCGGAGAATTTGTGATCGCGTAAATGCACATAGCGAAAATAATCCCACGCTGGAAGAAGTACATCTACAGTATCTCTTATTTTTAGGATTAAGTAATCATAGGTTTTGAACAACTATGACTATTCAATCTTATGAATACAAACATATTACGAATGGTGAAATCAATACAAATTGCAAATAAAATGAACATAGACGATTTCTATTGACAGAGAGTCTATCAAAATCATAATGAAATGTAAAAGTAATTAGTAACATTTTAAGAATAAAGATAAGGACAGGGTGTGAACTATGCATAATTAGTAGGAAAACTAGAATAAGACTATTGCACCACCTTTCTGTAGCAAGGGATTAATGGAAAG